GAACAGCCTGGATGTTTAGAGCCACTTACAGCAGGACAGGAAGTAGGGTCAGCGTGTCTGAGGAGGATGGGAAAGGCTTCTGTTAAGAGTGGTCAGGGCACCCTGGGAAGTCAGCCACCCGCTTCTCAGCCCTGGCAGAGGGAGCACAGCGATCCAGAAGTACAGGACAAATGCTGTGCCTCAGAGGAAAACTATGCATGGTCTGCAGCACGCCCTTTTTCTTTATCAGATTCTGACCACAGAGGAGCTGTCTTACAGCTCTTAGTAAGTTGTAGCAAACTACAGACATGCTTATTCAAACTTGCCCAGTAGAATTTCAGTTACATTCCCTCTTCTTCCTGCCTACCTCATGAGAAGAAAAAAGTAAGAGGGTTTTTTTTCTTTCTTTTATTCAAATTTTGGTACTGTTTTGACTTTTTCTCTGAAGCAGTTATAACATGTGCCTGGTTCCCTCCTCATATGAATAAAATAGACACTATCTCTATGAGAGTCATGAGTTTACTTTTTCTTGAAAATTATCCTTTAACTTTCTCCCTTCTGCTGGGCACCTCTGAAGCAACCCCAAGCTGGCTGGCATCCCTACTAGGAGCTAAGAAAGCCACTCGCCTAAGAAACGGGAGGACACGGTGACTGCTCAACAGACATGGGCAGGGCTTTACTCTGCATTAGTGACCACAGCCACCCTCTTTTGGGTCCTCACTGTAGCATGCAGGCCTCCGAGTGACCTGCTCCACTCTAAGCTGTCACACTGGATCCTACAGAGGCCCTGAATAGTAACTTTTCTTATTCCCTGTTACAAATAAGGGAACGGAGACTCAGAAAGATAAAGCAACTTGCTCAAGTCACTCACGCAGGAAGTGCTGAAGGAGAAACCTGATCAAGGTCTATCTCGTAATTCCCAGGCAAACTTACCGTGACTTTATTTATTTTCTTTTATTGAGGTATAGTTGATAAACAATATTATATACTGTTTCAATCCCAGCATAGCAACTATGTTTAAAATTACTATAAAATAGTGGCTATATTCCCTGCACTATACAATATATCCTGGTAGCTTTTTATTCTGTACCTAGTAGTTTCTACCTCTTAATCCCCTGTCCCACTTCCCTCTCCCCACTGGTGACCACTAGCTCTCCATATTGTGAGTCTGTTTTGTTGTTGTTGCTGTTGTTGTTCTATTCACTTGTTTTATTTTTTCGATTCGACAGGTAAGTGATATCATACAGTATTTGTCTTTCTCTGTGTGACTTATTTCACTTAGCATAATATCCTCCAAGTCCATCCATGTTGTTGCAAATGGCAAAATTCTCATTCTTTTTTATGGCTGTAAGGACTGATGCTGAAGCTGAAACTCCAATACTTTGGCCACCTCATGCGAAGAGTTGACTCATTGGAAAAGACCCTGATGCTGGGAGGGATTGGGGGCAGGAGGAGAAGGGGATGACAGAGGATGAGATGGCTGGATGGCATCACCGACTCGATAGGCATGAGTCTGAGTAAACTCCGGGAGTTTGTGATGGACAGGGAGGCCTGGCGTGCTGCGATTCATGGAGTCGCAAAGAGTCGGACATGACTGAGCGACTGGACTGAACTGAATATTCAATTGTATGTATACCACATCTTCTTAATTCATGTCTCTGTCAATGGACATTTAGGTTGCTTCCATGTCTTGGCTATTGTAAATAGTGCTGCAGTGAACGTTGGGATGCATGTATCAGCTTACAGCATTATTTTGGTTTTCTTTGCATATATACCCAGGAGAGCAATTGCTAGAAATTAAAATTTCAGAATCTTTGAGGATTGAGGTTTAATTCATCACTAAACACCTAGAGGACTTCCCTGGTGGCTCAGATGGTAAAAAATCCACCTGCAGTGTGGGAGACCTGGGTTTGATCCCTGGGTTGGGAAGATTCTCTAGAGAAGGGAATGGCTAACCACTCCAGTATTCTGGCCTGGAGGATTCCATGGGCTCTACAGTCCATGAGGTTACAAAGAGTCAGACACAGCTGAGTGACTTTCCAACACCTAGAAGAGATGCTCGAGAATGGGGTCACCTTCCAAATCCAAGAGAATTTTCAGGCCTCCTCCATGCTTCCTCACATGCAGCTGCCTGCTGACCTGTGGGTCATACCACCTATGAGAAAACACAACTGAATTTCTCTCTGAATTCACACTCTCAACCTCAAAGTGGTCAGCATATCTAGAGATCCCGCTCCATTCCTCTGGTTTACTCCATCCTCGTTGACAATTTCAAACCTCCTCTATTAAAACCTCTCTTCCCCTCACCTTCCTACAAAATGCCTCCTTTTCTCTGTATCCTAACTTTGCAGAGGAAACAGAAGCCCCTTCAGCCTTCCACTACAGGCTACCTCCAGCTACTCCCCCTCCCCAGTCCTTCTTCCTTTCTGATCTGCTCCTGCGGGGGTTAATCCTCTGCTAGGTTTTGGACCAATCACTCCTCCCATTGACATCACTGTCACCTCTTTTTAGTATATTCAATTTCTGGATCAACTGTTTTTTTCCTCATTGACTTAAATTTGTATGCATGTGATAAAATATATGTAACATAAGAAAAGCTGTGAGCAACCTAGACAGCATATTAAAAAACAGAGATATTACTTTTCCAACAAAGGTCCATATAGTTAAAGCTATGATTTTTGTAGTAGTCATGTATGGATATGAGAATTGGACCATAAAGAATGCTGAGTGCCAAAGAACTGATGCTTTTGAACCCTGGTGTTAGGGAAGACTCTTCAGAGAAACTTGGACTGCAAGATCAAGCCAGTCAATCCGAAAGGAAATCAACCCTGAACATTCATTGGAAGAACTGATGCTGAAGCTAAGGCTCCAATACTTTGCCCACCTGATACAAAGAACTGATTCATTGGAAAAGACCCTGATGCTGGGAAAGATTGAAGGCAGGAGGAGAAGGGGATGACAAAGGATGAGATGATTGGATGGCATCACCGACTCGATGGACATGTGTTTGAGCAAGCTCTGGGAGTTGGTGATGGACAGGGAAGCCTGGCGTGCTGCAGTTCATGGAGTCGCAAAAAGTCGGACGTGACTGAATAACTGAACTGACTGAAGCCAGACTCTTCTGAACATTTCTGAGTGCACAGCTCAGTGGCATTAAGTGCATTCACACTGTTGCACAACCCGGGTTTGTACCACCACCCGTCTCTAGAATTTTTTCATCTTCCCAAACTGGAACTCTATATCCATTAAACAAAAATTCCTCTTTCCTGACAGGCCCTGGCAACCACCATTCTACTTCCTGTCTCTATGAGTTTGACTACTCCAGGGACCACATGTATGTGGAAGCATACAGTATTTGTCCTTTTGTGACTGTCTTTCCACTGATTTTTAAACATGCTCAATTCTAATGTAAAACATGAAAAGAACAAAAATGAGCCCTGGAACCCTCAACACTCTCTACAACTATTGCTCTATTTCTCTCTGCCCTTCAGAACCAGAATTCTTGAAGGAACCCTCCATATTTGCCACCCTCCACCCATCTCACTTCTCCTTATACTCCAGTCTGGCTTCCGGCTTTATCGCTCCCCCTTCATCACCTAGCTATTGCTGAGGCCAACAGTGGCCTCCATTTTGCTAAGGAGAGAATGATGCTTTTCAGTCTTCATCTAAATTGGCCTTCAAGCAGAATCTAATGGCGCTGACTCCTTCTTACTGCTCTCATTGCCCAAAGCTCCTGCATGTACTTTTCTTCTCTTTACACTCTCTCCAATGCTCTCATTTGGTTCCACTGTTTGTTGCCACTTAGAAAAAGATGGTTTGCAAATCCTCATCTGCAGTCCGAACCTTCCCACTGACCTCCAGTCTCATTTGCACAACTTGACCTCTCTTCACAGATACATAAAAAGCAGCTCAGATCAATCATATCCAGAAGATATATGTATTTTTTATCTCTGCCCCCCTCTCTGGCCAAGCCTCTCACAACCCTAAACATCTCCAAATACGCTTTCCAGTCTCAGAGACTCTAGCTGGCCAGTTACACAAGCCAGAAGCCCAGGTGCATCTGGGGCCTCCTCCCTTCACCCCTCACACTCAGCCCCACACAGAGCCTGTCACCTGCACATATGGAATAGCTCTCAAATCCATCATTCCTCACAGTCACTTGCATGTCCACTCTGGTACAACTGCCAGCATTTCTAGTCCACATGGTTGCAAGAGCCTCTTAAATGTGTTTTGCCATCCACTGGACCCACTGGACCCACTGCATCCACTGCAGTGATCACTGGAAGCCAGGGGTGTTTACAAAATGCAAGTGTGGGCATGCATCAAAGAAGAAGACAAGCACCGTGGCCAAGCTCCTCCTTATCTTCAGCCTCGTCCCCCTTTACATGTCTCCCACCACACCCCCCGAGACTCTCACCTCTTCCTGGGTCCTGGTGCCCCCCTGTCCCCTTCCACACAGGACCTTCCCCGGGCCATTGCCTCTTCCCACACTTCTCACCATGACCCCTTACTCCTCCACACAGCGAAGACACCTCCTTGCCACTCCTGACTTCCCTGTCTAGGGACAACTCCCCTTTCTGGGTTCTGGTGGCACCTTGACCCTCTTCCTTGTAGTTGTCTGTTCTAACTTTACATTCGTCTGTATGACTGCTGGACTGTATCTGTAAGTTACATGAGAGCAGGGCTGAGTCTGATTCACTCACCAATGTACCCTCCACAGCCACCTCAGTTCTGCACACGTAAATATCAGAGTACGTAACATTGACACATAAGTGCCCGCCACTGCGTGCTTCGTGTGGATCTTCTCACTCCTTCCTCACAACAACCCTGTGGAGGCACGATCATTCTCCCCTCTTCAGAGAGGCAGCAATAACATATGCACGATTCTTTAGCTCACAAGAGGCAGAGCTGGTTTCAATGGCAGACAGGCTACCTGCAGAATCTCTGTACTGATGGCTGCACTCTACTCAGCACCACCCATGTTTGTGGAAGGATGTATTTCTGCACAGAAGAAGTTTTACCTGAGAGTTTACCAGACGGATGGTGGTTTTCGTGCCCACGTCTTGTTGGAATTTGACTGTGGGTGCCCCATTAAACCTCAGGACTGCATCGTGATCATCTAGAAACCACAAGGAAACAACACATCAGCAGTGATGACAGTGTGAACATCAGCAATATGCGAAGAGAGAGAAGGTCTGGAGGGAGGGAGGACAGAAGGAAGAGGAGGGCAAGGGAATAATACTTCCTGATCTTTATGTCCTCATGATACACAGGGGACAGTGACCGTATTTGCATGGCACAGTCAGGTCAGGTTCACAGACAGAGATCACCAGCTGTCTGCCCAGCCACTGCGAAGGCTGAAGAGGTCCGTACGTTGGTGCTCCTGAAACCCATTCAATGATGCACAGGGCCACGTAGACAGGACCAGTGCATTACCCCCAGTGAATCGCTATTCCAGTTACCAAAGGAGCAAACCAGACATTCCCTTGGTATTACCCGCAGGTCATACTTCTATCCTTATCAGAAAATCAAAGATCCTACCATAAGCTTGGCTTAACCCACAAGTGCAGAGTATCCCCATGGCACTCTGAGAAGCCAGCTGGGCATAGCACAGCAGTGCACTGTGACATGTGAGACAGCTCCCTAAGTGTTCCTGTTAGGGATCCAAGGCCCTGGAGGGGGTCACAAACCTGGGTGCTGGAAGAGATGGAACGAGAAGTCATAGAGCTAAACTAAACCCCATGTTTTCTATTTAAAAAAAAAAAAAAGGCTCTTTGTCAGGAACAAAATCTTAAATCCAGCCGAGATCAAATAAACCATCTTTTTAAAACTCTACTCACTCCCCGGCTCTCATTCTCTGTCCTTGTAGCTGTTCAAGCAGTGTTTGGAAGACTTGGAGAAGATTCTCTACCCGCAATGACCAATCTGATGGGGGAAGGAACTGATGACGTCTAAGATCCATTTGAACCAGTAGCCTCTCTGATCCTATGAGAGCTCCTTTCAAGGTTACGTGATCAAACAAGTCTGCACAGGATTTAGAGGTCAGCCCAAACCTCTGTTCAGTTTCTTTCTGTGAGGGGTTGATTTTGGATGGTTCTTCACGCACAAAGGTGGCATCAGGAGAAGGGTAGGAATGGATTTTGGCTTAATATAAGAGGGTCTAAAGGAGAATATCCACATAATTAAGGGATGAAAGCCTCCCTCTTTTTGTATCCCTACACCTCAGCAATCTAGATATCTCTTTCACAAAAACAACCCTATCCTCAATTCTAAGGAAAAAATTTTATCAAAATGGTTTAAAAGTTACATTGGCACATATATTTACACATATCTGTATAACACAAGAAATTCAGCCCAGTGCTCTATAACAATCTAGATGGGTGGGATGGGGGTTGGGGATGGGATGGAAGCACAAGAGAAAGGAGATATATGTATAAAAAAACTGATTCACGTTCCTTTACAGAAGAAACCAATACAACATTGTAAAACAATTATTCTCCAATTAAAAATAAAATTTTTAAAAAGTTACATAAGATGTTCATAGTCAAGACATTATCAGATAACAGGAAAGGCACAGAGAACCACAAATGGAGCAGTAAATTTATCTCTACGCAACTCAGATTGCAATCAGTTTTGCTGAAATTAACAACTGATTTCAAAAGTGACCAGCAATAACCATGCTAGAAATGCTGATGCATTAGAAACTTCAGTCAACTTTCCCATTTCACAGGTGAATAAACCATTAATCTGAGAGTCCCAGTAGATAAGAATGGCAAGCTCAATTGCAGCCATTGAGAATCAAATAAAAGGACTATTTACAGAGTTGTGGGTGGAGTTTAATGAGGTAGAAATCAAACAAGGAATGGGACCATACACTGGGGTTGGATGCAGCAGGGAACCCCACCTCTACACTGAAGGCAGCAGGAGGCCACCTGGTGGGAGCCTCAGAGGGAATCATTACCACAACCTCTCTTTCCTCCTCTCCTCTGACCTCCAGGCCTGGAAGGAAAAGGAAGCAAGCAGGACTCAGAGAACCTGAAAGGGACTGAAACTTTTAGTCAAGGAAGAGAAGCAGTCTGCACTCACTCTAAGAGGAGAGATGGGACGGGGAGGGGGTTGGGGAGAGGAGACAGATATTCCGCCTCACTCTCCTTCTTAGTCTCAGATTTGCACCAGTGCTTCCACTATCTCTATGCTTAGTCATTCAGTTGTGTCCAACTCTCTGCAGCCCCTTGGTCTATTACAGCCATGAGGCTCCTCTGTCCATGGGATTTCCCAGTCAAGAATACTGGAGTGTGTTGTCATGCTCTTCTCCGGGGGATCTTCCCAACCCAGGGACTGAACCCACATCTCTTGTATCTCCTGCTTAGCAGGCAGATTCTTTATCACTAGCACCACCTAGGAAGCCCGCTTCCACTGTCTAGTTCCAAATGAAAGCCAAAAGGGCAAGAACGCCCAGGTGACACAGTCTGTATTTCTACTTCCCAGGAAAGGGTGGAGAGTGGATTTGGAGCGGCAGGTAGAGAACATCCAGCACAGGAGGCTTGGGATAGGTCCTTGGCTGACCGTGAAAAAGGAAGATGTTTTTGTTCTTTCAATAAATACTGATTAAGCACCTACGCTCTGCCTGGCACTAGAGACAATGGTTGTGAGCAAGAAAGCAAGGTCCTCGCCCTTAGAGACCTTGAAAGCCACTGTAAAGAGAAAGACAATGAATAAGCACAACAACCTATATTCAAGGTAACTACAGACTGTGATTAGTGCTGTGGCACAAAATAGTGACCTATAACGGAAAAGAACCTGAAAAAAATATGCATATATATGGGAAGGGTCCAGGAAAGTAAACTCCAGCCAGAGGACAAAGCAGTGTCAAGACCCTAAGGAGGGTAAGGACTTAACTGGGAACAAGTACGTGAGGGAAAGAAAAAAAATAAAAGATGCAGTGGAAGAGGCTGGAAGAAAGCAAATCATGCAGGCTGTGGTATGAAGGTATGAAGTTTGAATTTTATTCTAAGATTAAAAAAAATAAAGGAGAAAACTTTAAAACAGACCACTAAATTTAAGCTCATAAGAAAAGGGATTAGATTCTTATTTGCCAAACTGTCCTAAAAACTTTCAGTCTCAAATAGGTCTTCAGGAAATCACCAGGAGAAATCCACAGCTACTGGGCTCCCAGCAAATAAGTCTTGAAGGAGGAAGGCTGTAGAAAACAAGGGGATCCACTTCTCTTTAACTTAGAATTAGAACACAGAAAAAGATGCAAATTAGAAAAGGAAGAAGTACACCATGATACGCATGTGACATACTACATGCTTAGAAAATTCAACAGAATCAGTTTGTCAGTAAATTCATAAATATATCAAAATCTACTGTGTCCAGGTATAATAACTCCAAATAGCTAGAAGTCATGGTGAAAGAAATTTTATCACTACTTGGACCAAATATTTTTTTTATATTTTCCAATGAGCTTAATGAATCATATAACCATGTATGGAAGACCACATTCTGATTCTGACTAGAAAAACTAGATATGACACAGATAGAGATTGGCAAACTATGGCCCACAGGGCAAATCTGACCTGTCTCATCTTTGTAAATAAAGTTTTATTGGAACATAACCAGATACATTCGTTTATTACTGTCTGCGGTTGATTTTCAGATGGTAAAGAATCTGCCTGCAATGTAGGAGACATGGGTTCGATCCCTGGGTCAGGAAGATTCCCTGGAGAAGGGAATGGCAACACACTCCAGTATTCTTGCCTGGAGAATCCCATGGATAGAGGAGTCTGGCCATCTACAGTCCACAGGGTCACAAAGAATCAGACATGACTGAGCAAATGAGCATGTATGCATGCACGTGGTTGATTTTGCACTAAAATAGCACAGTCATTTTAAGAGACACTGTATGTCTTCAAAAATATTTGCCATCTGGCCCTTTATAGGGAAAGTTTGCTGAACCCTGATATAAATAATCATGCTGTCTGAGCTACTCAATATCCAAGGGTGTCTTCCCAGTCATCACTTTGCCCAGGAACTCCACCTGCCCCAAAATGTGCCCAAACTCCACCCACTTTTGCCTTCCATCATGCGATATACCTGCTTCACTTCAGCCCTTCCTACTGGTCCTTCTGATTTTTTCTTTTTTCCTTTTTTTTGGCTTGTCCCTGTTATTTCCTTGCCCTTCAAATGTAAACTTTGCTTTAGGCTTTGCTTTAGGTTTTCTCATCAGTCTTCTTTTCTGGATTACAACTATCACCTTGAAACAAATGAGTCTTAATCTCCCACCCTTACACTTCCCTGCAAGCAAATACCCAACTGCATAGATACCCACAAACACTTCAGACTTAGAACATCCAAAATGGAACCTATCGTCCTCCAGAAGAATGCTTCCTGGTGATATGATAGAGCCTGCTCCCAGGCCAGAGACCCTGGCTTCTACCACTCACTCAAGGTCATGTCTAATTAGAACCAAGTTCTGTCTCTTCTACCTCACCATGCCTCTCAAGTCTTACCTTCTCTTCCCGCCACCACTACCACTCCTCGACAGGCCTGGCATTTCTCACTGGATGTGGCAACAGCCCCTAACAGCAGAGAGATTAGACTGCAATCCCCTGAGACAAGGAGACTCAGAGACATATGAAACCTCTCTGAAACACACATGATCCCATCATGTGTTTAAGCTTGCTTAAAACCTTTTAGGCCTCTCCATGGCTTAAAGAACCAAATTCTAAGTCCTTATTATGACGGTCAACTTCCTCTAAGAACTGAACCCTGACTACCCTTCCGACCTCATTTCTCAGCCCTCTTCAGCCTGTGAGACCCTACCTCCCAGCCAAACAGGGTTATTTGTGATGCTTAAACATGCTCTGCCCTTTTTTTTTTTTCCAGGCAGCCTTTGCTTCTTACTTTTGTCTCAGAATGTTCTCCTCTCTTCTAGGAGAGAAAATCAGGAAGAATATGAAGTGATTATTTTAACCTGACAAGGGATTCATTCATTATTATAAAATTACAATCACCATGGGGCACAAAAGAGGAGGTTAGGCTAAGTGTGGGGGCCTTGGAGTCAAACACCCCAGTTTCAAGTCCCAGTCTACCATCAACCAGCTGTGTAAGCTTTCTGAGTGTTAACACGTAGTTCATCAGTAAAATGGGGACAATAATTGTACCTACCTCGTGGGATTACTGGGAGGATTAAAAGAGCAAGGCTTGTCACTCACACAGCAGGTGCGCCATATGTGTTACTCCTATTAGTTATAATATTTGCTAAGTGTGCTACTGCTTGAAATGGATATTCAAACAAATCTAAGATACTTTACATGTGTATGTATCAAAAACAATTAAAAATTACTATGCCCACCGTTGGCTGGTTTGTGGGACTGCCAGAGACACAACAGCTTGTTACAGTTCCTCTGATAAGCAGTTTGGTAATGCACCAGAAAAAGAGCCCTAAAACATGTTACTTTGGTCTTCTAGCCCAACTCCTAAGGGTATTTCCCCTTTGGAGGGCAGTAGTGGTCACTTAATTAATCTTCACAAAAAACTCATTAGCAGTACTGTTTTTAAGAGCAAACAATTTGAAACTATCTGATATGTTCAACAGTTGGGAATAAGCTGGACAAATTCCAGGTGTGATGGGAAGGCTGTGGGCCTGGTAAGCTCAGAGGCTTTTAACAAAAGGCCTTTCCTTTTGCTTTCCTCTTTGTATTCTAAGTTCCTATTTGGTACTGTTGATGAATCCGTGGGAATAAAAGAATACATGAATTAATTTCTTAAAGTATTTGTTAGACTAAATGCCCAAAGGAAATAACCAACAGAAGGCAGAACATTTGAAGTCTAACACACGATTTTTGTTAGATCTCAGGGTCTAAGTCCTTCCATGGAATCACATAGTTGAAATGATAACTGCAATCTATAGAAAAATATTATTTTAAAGTTTAGTTAAACCCCACCAATGTTTTATGAAGTACATAAAAATAAAGATTATAGTTCCAATTCATGGAAGTATTAGGTTCTACCTGAAACTTCAACACAATTCCAGCCAGGCAGGCAATGGTGACTTGAAGAAGAGGATCAGCTAACACCTGGAATATTCTAAACATTACCATTAAAGAGAAAAATTGGGGAAGGAAGAAAGAAATCTAGTTCCATTAGAGATGAAATAAAAACAATTACATTTAGCTTCTAGAAAACGAAATCCAAAAGAAACCCAAAAAAGCAAAAGCAAAAGTTGGGGTGGGGTTGGTTATCTTGGCAGCTTTTATTCCTAAGTGCTGCCCATTTGGGGAAGTATAAAATATGATCTCATCACTTCTTTCTGCTCTAGAGAATCTAATTTGGGTCTACTTTACTTCTTTTGAGAGCCTGTGCTCAGTTTTAGACCATTTTTCCTGGCAGAAAGGAGACGTATGACCTCACCTGCTCCAGTACCTTCCAGGGCCTGAGAGAAGAGCTAGGCTTCCTGTGCCTTGCTTTCTTTAGCCTAATTCATTTCACAATCATGGAAAACACATTCTCTCAGGACAATCGAACTAAGGAACGTTAAGCAAATCCATAGCTCTGTGCTGTATACATGTTTACAAACCTGGATAAACTTTCTACTTTTTTAAGTTTATTTCTATTGAAGTATAGTTTTTTATTTTTTCATTAGAGGATAATTGCTTTACAGTATTGTGTTGGTCTCTGCCGTGCAACAGCACAAATCAGTCATAATTATATATATATATATATATATATATATATATATATATATATATATATATATACACCCTCCCTCTTGAGCTTCTAAAGTATAGCTGATTTACAATGTTGCATCAGCTTCAGGTGTATTGCACAGTGAATCATATATACACACACACACACCATATACATATATATGCATGCTACATCACTTCAGTCATGTCCAAATCTGTGTGACCCTATGGACCATAGCCCACCAGGGTCCTCTGTCCAAGGGATTCTCTAGGCAAGAATACCGAAGTAGGTTGCCATTTCCTCCTCCAGGGGATCTTCCCAATCCAGGGATCAAACCCCAGTCTCTTATTCCTCCTGTACTGGCAGGCGGGTTCTTTACCAATAGCTTCCTCCTGGGAAGCCCACGAAATATATATATATAATTTTTTTCAGATACTTTTCCCTTATAGGTTATTATAAAATATTGAGAATAGTTCCCTATGTTATAGAGCAGGTTCTTGTTGGTTTATCTCTTTCATATAGTGTATATGTTAACCCTAATTTGTCTATCCTTATTAACTATGACAAATTTTGGGAAAAGCAAATTTATATATTCTCATCAGTGATTTTTAACCATTTTGGGGGTCACAGACCCCTTTGAGATACAACAGAAAGCTATGGATTCTCTCTTTGGAAAAATGCAGGCTGAATTATACAAATACACATGTTATATACACATAAACAGCACATATTTTTCATATGATTTTAGGGATTTGTGAACCTCCTGAAGTTGGTCCAGAATCCCCAATTAATTCCTTTCAAAGAGAAAAACTAAAAATTAGTTAGGTCACTGAGGCCAAAGAGATAATTAGTTGCTAATTAATCAGTAAATTATAGAATTTCAGGACCTGAAGATAAAGTAGAGATCTATGTTTTAAATATTTTTAAATGTTAATGCAGTGTTTTGCTTCTTGGTAGCAAAGGAACTTTCTTTTCAAAAATTTTCTGTATGACACCAGTATTTAAGATGGCTCAAAATAGAGGTATTTGAATTAATAAAGCTGCTGGAAGACTGGATCCCCATTCTCTCCACTGCCCCCTGGCCACCTCTGACTCATGAAGCACATCTGAGAAGCCCGACGGGGCTGCTGCCCCAGTCCACGAGCCATACCGGGACTGCTAGTCCCCACTCCTGTCCACGTGCCCAGATGGTCCAAATGAGCCCTGGCCACTCAGATAACAGTCTCCACACGGCAGGACCCACCTATTTCTCGACCCAGCCGGGAGGACTTCAGAGATCCTGCTGAAGAGACAACAGCACACCTGCCCCATGGCCCCGCCTTGGTCCTAATGTTCTCCTGAGGCAGGTAGCCCTCCCAGTCAGAGGTGTTGAAGGGAAAATCTGTGGTCTCTATCATCGAAATGTTCACGTGGTCCCGGAGGTGGCAAAGCAGGGCCTCTGCACTGAACTTGACCCCGGGCCCTGGCCCCTTGTACGTCACTTTGTACTTGTTCATGCTCAGATAATTCTTCCGGATGGTTTGCAGCCTGGGGATAAGGTTTTTGGAGGAGCTGTCCTTGTCCCACACCTGGAAGGTAGTCTCCAACTTGGCCTTGGGACCACCGAGTGCCTGGCTGCTCCTCTGGGGGTTGTGGGTGCTGCTCGAGGACACAGGTTGGGAACTAGAGCTCACAGCCAGTTTCTCCAGGCCCTGCAACAGCTGGAATTCCTTGTTCTGCAGTTTAAGGAACTCATAGAAATTCCCTTTCTTCTTTTCCTTCCACACACAGATGATCGCAAACAGGAGAAAGACGAGCACACAGCAGCTGAAGAATTTTTTCTTCAAGCTGGTGCGAGTCATAATGAAAGACGTGTTCGAGGGAACCGTGCTGTTCTGAGCAGGAAAATATGCCTACAAAAAAGTGAGACAAGGCAGAAAGTGATGTAAAGAACAGCCAAAAGTAACGATGAGCTGAGCAATGGCTTTAGAGTGACGAGGACTGAATTCCAGCCCATGCCTATCTCCCATGTTAAGCAAGTCTCAAAAAAAAAAAAAAAAAATCACCCTCAGTTTGGGCTTGAAATGTAGAAAGTCATGCTCAGACACTCTCATCTTCCTCAGTGCTCTATGGACTTGCCCACCACACCTTTGTACTCCCTGAATCTTAGTTTCCTGTTGTCTCAATCTGGCTTCCTGATTGCTCTCTGAGCCTCCTGAGGTTGCGAACCACAACTTACACATTCAGTTCCTAGGGCCTCACACTATTTGTTCAAGGAAGGCATACATGCTTGAAAAACTAAAAGAAAACAGCAGAGCAGGCTGATGTGTCTGTCACGGGAAGCCAAACTCCATAAAAAGGCCTGGCCTCCTTTTAAAATTGCCAGGAAGAGACCTCTCACCATAAACAGTGTGGTAGGTGCATGGTGCATCTCCCTAAGGGCTCTGGTGCTAGATTCCTGTTCGAGAAGAAAGCCAAGGGTTAGCTTCGCAAAAGAACATTCAGGTTTATGGAGTTCTGCATGTGGCAGAAAATTGACTCTCCTCACAGCAGAAGATGGACTCTCCTAATAAGACAGCAGATATGTGACCAGTTAAGGAAATGAAAACAAAAATGCATTAAGTACACAGGAGGTTATTTCATTTAATTTCATCATAAACCAGGGTGCATCATGATACAGAATATCAGTGAACACCATGTTAATAATAATAACATGAAGGGCATCTCCAGAGCTGTGCAGAAAAGCCCTGACCATCACCAACCATGATGGTGCCATAATCTCCATTTTTATAGATTAACCACCTGAGGCTCTGAGAAATTAAGAGAAATGCTTAGGATCACAGAACTGCTTAAATAGTAGCATTGAGATTCAAATCCAAGTGCACTTGCTTTCTTAACCCATGACCCTTTCACTGCATCATGTCCAGAATGCTGAAAGTTCTAGAAAATGGACTTCACAAATTAAATAGAGCCTGAATAAGCCCCTTTATATCTGAGTAAAGACCTACTTTGCTTTCCCAGAATTTATTGTCAAACTGAATGGAAAATTGAAGAACTTTGAATTCAAATAATGTCTGTATCTTCTGGAAAACATTAACTTATTCCCTAAACAACTAGGTTTAGTTACCATGATAAGTCAAAGCAACTATCCCCAGGATTTTGCTAACTGATGAAGAATCTATACAGTAGTAATTAACACAACATTGTAATCAACCATACTATAATTTTTAAAAATTCAGAAAAAAAAAACGAAACGGATCGATAGTCCACTTCTAGGAAGCCTGCTCCTAGGGATATCAGAGATAAGGTGGTAGGAGTACTGAAGTGGGTATCACAGAACCTGGCTTCTTGTCCCCACTCTTGGTGGCCTTAGGCAAGTCTCTTGACCTCTGTGAACCTGTTTCTGTGAGGTAATCATCTCTGCCCTGTCTCATTCACTGGTCCTGGGAACAGCAAAGGAGAACGGCATTCAGGGACTTTGAACTAGATCAATATAAAGGCACAGAGGTTAGCACAGCCCCCAGGCCCCACCGGCATGAGAGCCATGTGGAGGCAATGTGGGACAGCAAACAACAGCAGAGTGGAACCCTGGCCGTGACTCATCAACCTGAACTTCAGGGCCTCATCATGTGTAACTGAAGTACAGTTCACTTACAATGTTAGTTACAGCTGTAAAACAGTGATTTGATATTTTTATAGATTATGTACCATTATAACATTTTTGACGATAGACTCTCTGCAGTACATTACATCCCTGTGACTTATTTATAACTGATACTCTAGCCAGCCAGCCAAGACCACACCAGCACACTGAAGTGTAACTGGTAATTTACACCTCAAACCCCCTTTACCTCTCTCACACTTCCCCCATCACCCTTCTCTCTGGCAACAATTAGTTTGTTCTCTGTATCTATAAGTCTGTTTCTGTTTTTTGTTTTTGTAGATTCCACATGTAAGTGAAAGTATACAGTATTTGTGTGTGTGTCTCTCTCTGACTTATTTCACTTAGCCTAATACTCCTTGGGTCCATCCATATCACAAAATGCAAGGTTTTATGGTATGGCTTTATTCTTTTTAATGGCTGAGTAATATTCCATTGTGTTTGTGTATATACATGTATATATCACATACTCTTTATTCAGTCATCTGTTGATGGACACTCAGGATACTTCCATGTCTTGGCAATTATAAATTATAGGTAATTCTGCAATGAACATTGGCATGCATAAATCTTTTGAATTAGCTTTTTGTTTTCCAGGACAAATACCCAGGAGTGGAACTGCCTTGATTATATGGTAGTCCTATTTTTAATTTTTTAAGCTAACTCCATACTGTTTTCCACAGTGGATACACAAATTTACACCCCCACCAACAGTGTATGAGGGTTCCCGTTCTCCACACCCTTGCCAGTACTTATTTCCTCTATTCTTCTCCTGAGTTTGGTGAGCATACTTATAACTGAGAATTCCAACCCAGATCTGTCTGACTAAAAGTCCATGGTTTTGGCACTAATGGACAGGCATTGTGAAAAGGTACAATGAAAAGTCAGTGTTGACTTAAGACTCAGAATTCAGGGTCTCTAACGAGACAACTGCTGGACAATCACAAAATAAACACCCTCACTATCAGTGCTGACACTGCTACTGTGCACTATTTTACCATTCAGGTGACCCAGCAATTGGATTTATGAGACCCAGTACAACCCTGTGAGATAAGCAGAGAAAATGTTATTAGTTTTATTTATAACTAAAGAAACTATGATTTTGTAAACATAAATCATTTTCAAAGTTGCGTGAGTGATTTGGTAATGATGGAGTTTGGACTTAACTTTTATGTGTATAAGTGAAATAAGACAGGAGGCAGGGATATGGAACCTGGTTCACTATCTCACTGGGCCAAGGCTCAGAAGGGCTTGTGTTCGGATTCCTGCCAAACGCTGCCCTCAAAGGTCTAGTTTCCTGGGAAAGAAGAGTTCTCCAAACCTTCAACTATACAGTCTTACAACTTCAAGAGCACCTCAGCCTTCAACGTCAGTGCTCTGTCATGAGTGCTATGGGCACTCATCTGAAACCTCATGTCAGGGCTCCCAGGTCTCTTGAACACCATCCTCTTTTGAGGCTCCCAGTCCATCACTGGCTAGATCCTCTGGTCAGAGGGACTTAAGAGCGTCAATCTCATCTCTCAAGCTGCTACAGAGAGACACGGACTGAAGCAGTTTCATCTAAACAGCCCAAACTGAAGGAAAGGAATAGTAAATATTTTCCCCCAAATTCTTTGGGAAAATAGTCCAAGTTTTTAATTTCTCAATCATTTCTCTGATTGCCTTCTTACTTCTCTAGAACTTTGCACTGCTGGAATCTCTCCCCTTGTCCATTTGCCTGGCAACCAAACAGCCTTTCTGTTTCTGGGCTCCTGTGGAGGCCACCTCCCCTTCCCTACTGTTCTTGCTCCCTGCTATTTGTCTCTAGTGTTTAGTAATGCTTGCTTTTGATTTTCTTTTTAGGCCATGCCCTACAACGTGTGGGATCTTAGTTCCCAGACCAGGAATCAAACCCCTGTCCCCTGCACTGGGAGAGTGAAGTCTTAGCCATTGGATCACCAGAGAAGTTCCCGTAATTTTTGGTTTTCATGCTGACCCCCTGCTAGAGGGAGACTCCTCCTGGCTCATTTCTGAAATTTCAGTGCCCCCTCACGCCTAGAACACAGTGGGTATTCAATAAAGGATTCTTGAGTTGACTGGACTTATCACTGAACACTAACAACCCCCACCTGGCTTCTAGAAGAATAAGTAACAACTCACATTATCACCTACAGAGAATAAGCCAACACTGAACCAACAGAAAGAAAATCCCAAAGGAGGGCTCCCCATCTATATTACTATATCACTACATGCCGGGTATCACATGCAGGGCTTGGCCAGAGTAGTTGCTTTAAAAAGGGAGATTAAATTACAGAATAACTTTAAATCTTATATTTATAGCTTATAGAAATAGGCAAATCACCTATCAAAACTAGGGACTGAAAATAAATGAATAAAAAACACGAAGAAAACAGCAAAGCTGTAGCCAGACGTTGAGCCTCTGTGGCTTCTTGCCAGCGCACTCCATGTGCCTCTCCTAAACAGAGTATGGACCCCTGTGCAGGTTCCACATCCCACTCCTCCAGGTGTTCCTTACCTGCTTCCAGCTAATCCTCCTGGGCTGCAAGCCCTCCTGGCCCTCAGGAACGAGCACTGTTCTCCATGGATGTCTATTCTACTGGGTCTGGAGGCCAAGGCTCGTTCTTCTCAGGATGATCAAAAACCATCTACAAAGAGGAGGGTAAAAGAGAGTTAAGCACCAGTTTTCAAGAGGAGCAAGGTTAAAGATTAAAAAGATAGTCAGGGACCTCTGCTAAACTCCAATGTGGGCCCTGGTATGGCTCAATCCAGGAAGCCCCAAGGGCTCAGAAAAAAAAAAAAAGAGAGAGAGAGACAAAAGTCAATTACAGATGCAATGTTCTGGGTTCATAAACAGCACAGAAATCCTAGAAATAGTCCAATACTAATAAGCACATGACAGAAAGATGAAGCAAGCACCATACACCATTCCCAGCCTGGGAAGAAAGAATTGTCTGTTGCTGGTTTGTGCATGCATAAATAACAGTTTTGGGAAGACAGGATTCAGTTCGTCCAAAATGAACTCTAAACAGACCTTTTAAAAGTTATTTATTATCAAAGAATATTTAATGATATATGATATATGAAAGTTCTATCAGTATAATGTTAACTGAAATTCAGAAAAAAAAATTTAAATTCAAATCTGAGAAAGAGGAAAGACTACACCAATATATACACCAACACACACACATACCTGGAAGGTAG